GTGTAATTTTACAGTCAAATGTTCAAAACTGTAAAAACTGTTACTTATATTGTCATAAAACTATAATAATTTGATAAATAATTATTTTTGTTGCTTTAAATAAAGTTAAAATAGTTTAACTGTGTAGTGAAATGTTGTGATATAGAGCAACATTTGTAAAATGCTGATATTTGATTGTGTTTGACTGTAAATTAATGCATTTTTCTGTGATTTTACCAGTTTTTTATCTGTAATTTAACAAAACAGGGAAAATCTGTAAAATAACAGTAATTTGTTTAAAGAACACACATTAAACATGATTTTTTTCATACTGTGTTTAAGCACTTCTAGCAAAAAAAGCAGAGAAAAGTGTTCAGGTCAGTCTGCCACCAAATGTTTTATTAACACGAAAGAAAAGTTCAGTTTCATATCTGCACAACGGAGTCGAGTGTTTGCAGCTATTTGTGCTTCACCATCAGGCTGTCCTGACATGTGCTCTGAGCAGAGTGTCCCTCTTACATAACCACGACAACAACAACAACGAACAGCTGATCACCAACAACACCATCATCATCACCAGCCATGTTGCAACCCAGTCTGCTCCCAGTGGGACGGCGAGACGCCGGACAGCCCGCACAAGATCAGGATCAGTGGATCGGAGCCACACGAACGCATCCGACGGGCCACGTGCAGGAACCAGAGCGGCCCTGGAGGACATCTTTATATTATAAAAGAGAGAGCTGCTCCTGGGCCAAGGTTTCTGCTCAGCAAGTTCTGGAAATCGTGCAGCGGTTTTGCTAAAACTCATGCAGATTCTTTTATTCTTTGTGTAATTTTAGCATCACTGGAAACTTCAGCTCCACTGAAAGCAACATGTGACAAAGCGCTCGGGGCTGGGACTTTATTTCAACCTTACACCACAAGACAACAACTTCCACATACATGCACAACACATTTCCAAATCTCTGCTCGCCTGAAGGTCAACTCCGACCGGTTTAAAGGTTCAACGTGCTTTTTTTCTTTGTTCCCCCTGAATAATTTGAAGCCAGATGCAGACTTTAAAATGACACAAACACTTAGTTATTTATTCGGCGCTGCTACAGGTCGTGTGATCGAACAGACTGAGTGCTGATAATCACAGGACAAAAATATCAAGAGGCCCCGCTCAGAAAGAACATCTGAACCCTGAAGGTCTGCAGCAGACGAACAATGAACAGGCTCAAGGTCTGAGGAACACAAACACATCTGTAAATCTGGAAGCCTGATAAAGGATTTTTAAACCAGAGGAAAAAAACAGGAAGGACTGAAGCTGGAGGGAGAAAAAGAGGAACTTGGAGCAGCAGCAGCAGATTCTTTGAGGAGACAGCAAAGCGACTGCTGCCCCCTGCCTGGAGCCCAGCATCACCGCAAGATGTTCACAATCAGTCAGTCATGTTCCCGTCGTCTCTCTCGCTCTCGTCGCCTCCCCCGTTCATGGCCTCCACTCGGGCCAGCAGCAGCGGCAGGTTGACGCCCAGGCCCAGCGTGTCCTCGTCAGAATCGTCGCACGGAGGGTAGAAGCGCCTCGCCTTGGCCAAGAAGTCCTCGGCGATGTCGAGGTACAGGAGGCGATCCTGTGGAGAGGAGGGAGGAGAGAGTCAGGACGTGGAAGGAAAAACACTTTCTGTCAGTCTATAACGAGCAAAGCAGGAGAATGAAAACAACTCTTTGAAGGAAAATATATATATATTTTGGATTTCATATTTTAAGTTTAGTTGGTAGATGCAGAAAGAATGGAAATGATGAAGTACAGCAAGCCTGAACGGAGAGGTGGAGGTATGCAGGTGGAAAAGGGATGGCACTGTAAAGGAAATTCAGTAAAAAAAATAAAAATAATTAAAAATATATATATAAAAACTAGGAGCAAGGGTGTTAGAGTTCTGTTTTGTTCAAAAACTGTTTAAAAAAAAAAAATTAAAATACCAGCAAATATCTGTAAAATAATGCAAAACGCTGTCATTTTGAGGTCACACATTACAAATAAACAAAAATAAAATAAAAATAAAATACAGATTTCTAGTGCTGACATGATGTAGTTATAGTGAGTAAATCCATACTTTTAATTTTTGTTTTTTAATATACTTTTTTCTTCAAATAAATATCTGCAGAATGGTGTTTTTTTTTTCTGAAATAAATACATATACATATTTTTATTTTCATTTATTTAACTGTGTAATTTAAAAGAACAAACTACTATTTCTTTTTGAAAACAGATTTCTGGACAACATTTGGTCTGTTTAACATGTAAATTAATGTATTTTTGTGAGAATTTACGAGATATTATCTGTCATCTGTGGTTCAAATCACTTGTTCCAAAATAAATTATGGTTAAACTTTTTTTTTTTTTACATTACACTCACAATCCGTGCAGCAGATTTTCTTTGCTGTAAATTTTTTCCTATTTCACCGAATCCTCCAATCCCTGAGATTTATTTTAAGACACCCAGTTTGGAACCACTGGACTATAAAAGTCCCTCAACCTGCTGATGATTCATCCTGAGTTCAGGGATAATATCATTGTGGAGGCAGAACTCAGGCGAGTGAACGCAGCGTTTGGAAGTGGAGTGAACCAGCTGTGGTCATCTGTCATGATACAGTTTGTACTGGCCAAATTTGTCACTTGCAACTTTAAGCCTGTAAAATCTGCTTCAGGGGGCGTCTGTTTACAACTGCTGGCCACAGCATGAACTGTTTATTTTAGGGTTTGGTTCAAAGTTCAGGGCTGCTGCATTTGACCCCGACTGTCCCTCCTCCTCCGGCCTCCTCACCAGGATGAACAGATATCTCTCCGGCGGCGGCTCTCTGCTGCTGAAGATGGACGTCTCGGTGTGCAGCGTGTGCAGCAGCGAACGTGCCGCCGGGGCGTTACGCATCCGGTCATGTGAGGCGCCGGCGGACACGTTGAGCAGGGAGTCTGCCTCGGCCATGAAACCTGGAAGAGAAAGCCAACGAGCTCAGTGCTGGAACTCTACAAGCGGTCAGGTTCCTCATCCGTCCAGCCTCACCTAAGTTCTCCAGGATGGTCTTCCATTTGTCTCGAACTTCTCGTCTTGTGTCTCTCATGGCCTCGATGTCGACGCTCAGACGACGGTAGCCCTGAGTTAGAAAAGGAGAGCAGCATTAGTCCTCTGAACCACATGTATGGAAACAGAACAACCATGAAGAAGGAGAGAGAATACATTCTGTGTAGTAATGCCATAAATCATTAAAAAGAAGGAATAAAACTGAGTTGCATTTATTTGCATTACAAATATTAAAAAAACTGGAATCAATAATCATCATTATTATTGTTATTATTATTTTATTTTCCAAGTTTCTACTGTTTTTTTTTCAATACTGGATTTAAAAAAGAAAAGAAAAGGTGAAGGGGCAAATACTATAACTATTTGACAAACTTACTTAAGTCTCTAAACTTCTCTGTCATGTGACATTAATGTGTCACAAAAAGCTTCACAGCTGCACCAAAAACAGCAGAATTCCTTCATTTTTTTTGCAGAAAAATCTAAAAAAAAACCCTCAAACTGTTTAGTCAAAGTGACAAAAAGACAGATATTTTACTGCTTATATATTTACTTTACATATATGCTGTTTTTCATACCACTCTGCTCATCAGCTCTTTCACCGTGCTGAATGTATCTTCCAACAACTTCCTCCTCTCTATGCTGTTTGTGAGCCATGCTGCATTTATCTATACGTTTTATTTTCCTCTCCATCTCTCTCCTCTTTGCTTTCTGGAAACACTGCCTGCAGCTCAACCAATAAAATCCCTCGATTTGTTGTCACGTGACTGTTGGTCACAGCCGAGTCATGAATGGCTTCCCAGTTGCACCAAAACATGTAGAATTTTTTTTATTTTACAGAATTTGGCTAGCATTAACGCTTTATTTTTGGCAAATTATTAAATTAGATATATTGAATAAAGTGATGAATTATCACCATTTTGAGCTTTGAGTTGGTTAATTTGAGCAGCACGTCACACATGATTTGTACAAGGAGCTTCAGAAAGTTGAAAAGCAGATGAATATTTCAGTTTTTACAGTTTGTCACTCTCATAAATGGTGTCATTTTGGTTTTAAAGAAAGGTTTTGGGGGTTGAGACGGTTCAAATCAATATTCTATTCATTCCTAAGACTTCTGGTCCACTGTGTTCTAACTGAACAATCTGACCAATGATGACTATCTTTCGTACTTATATAACACTGCACCCTGTCTGTAATAACATTTCATCACTTTGGATCAGTTGGTGTCACTTGGCACCGCTGTAACCGGTTTCTGCCTTCAACGTTATCCAAATCCTGAGCCTGAGCCTCCCTCTCATACCGAGGATCCCATGCGGGTCTTGTTCCTGGCCTGCAGCAGCTGGTAGAGCGTCCGGTCGTCCTCCCTCTCCGAGTGGCTGGGGTCTCCTGGCTCGCTCCACAGGTTGGTCTCCTCATCTCGACGCTTCTGGACCTCACGGTTAAAATACTCCAGCGGGTCCTGACTGCGTGGACGGACAACAAACAAAAGTTACACAAGACAAGACAACAACCTGCTAAGGTTATATTCTCTCTCATGCACTAAAAGCCAAACAGCTATGTGGTTTCATCTTACGGTACTAATGGCTGCTTCTCATCCTCATCATCTTCGTCACCGACGCAGCAGCAGCAGCAGAACTGCAGGCAGAACTTCCTAAAGCCTGAACCCATTTATTAAGAACAGAGTCAGCTGGTGTTCACAACGTTAGATAATCCAGAGGGGAGGTGTGTTCAGGTTCTTCTTCTTCTTCAACAATGGGGTTCCAGCGATGAATTTGCTTGCAGAATGACCTCTGTGGACGCCCTCACAAGCTCGTTTTTTGAGAAATAAAACCTGATTCACAGCTTATAAGAGCAACAAGTCAAATAAAAGTTCCCTAATAAAAGATCCCTAAGCTCTACCTAACCTTCAGCTTCCCATCTTCCAGGATCTCGTCGCGGCTCCACGTCCAGCAGAGGTTCGTCCTCCAGGGCCCGTCCGGGTAGAGAAGCTCAGGCAGACGCGAGCCCAAGAACTGGAGCTTCTCATCAGCCTTACGTGGAGGACAATGAGAGCAGTGAGCCCGACGCTTTCTCATCGATTAAAACCTCACATTCACACGCCCATCGCCTCAGAAGACAGTCACAGCACAATCATGTGAGCTGCTCCGTCCCTTGTTTTAAGTATTGTGTTTTGCCCCGAGGACAGCACATCCCCTCTGAAACAGCAAGTCTACCCGCACACTCTGTATCCAATCTACCATGGCTGTATTGATTTAAGGATTACTCAGTTTCATTGTGCGGTTATTGTGGTTGCTTAATGGTGAATCTGCATCTAAGTGAATATTTCTTTTTGAAGAATTCGAGTTTGAGAGAAAACTTTGCTGAAGCACTGTGAAGATTGCGAAGCTATGGGATGACGTGGACTTAGCCTCCAGCCGCTAATCTTAACTCTAGAGAGTTCAGTTGTAGCTTTATTTGTTGCAGCAGTATGGCCGTCATGCATGTGACAAAGGCTGGAGTCACGGGGTGTTATTGTTCGTCACATAAACACTCCCATGATTCAATGCGGGAAATATACGGGTATAAAAACTACTGGGTTCTTAATTAGGAGTCGTTTAGGGTGGCCGAGTCAGAGGAGGAGAAAAGAACTATTTAAAACAAAAAAGGCAGCGAGGACACGACTGCGCAGGATCAGAGAAATGCTAAGTGACGACAGACTGCTCATCTCTCAGCACGTTATTTCTAAGCTGAACTAAAGAGTATTTCCACACATGAACAACCAAAAAACAAACTTTACAAAAACTATATTGAAACTTGAGGCCCCAAAGTACAAACTCAAAGCAACAAATGTAAATACACCTGTGATCACTGATTAGAAAACCTGGGATCACTGAAACAAAGTCGAGCACACCTTCCGATTACAAATGCATAAACATGGTTCTATAATGAATTGTAAACAGCAGAACTTTCTTGGACCTATGGGTTGTGTCTGAGTATTTATCTTATTGCTATTTTATTATTTACATCACCTTTTAGCTGTTTTTTTTTCTTAGACTGTGACCATATTAGCTGCTACAAAGATGATACCAAATGAAATTTCGTTGCATTTTTTGTATAACGACAAAGCTTCTATTTCTTCTTCATGGCTTCACACGGACAAGAACTGCCCTAGGAACTGGAAAAGAATCCAGAAAATCAACTAAAAATCAGTAGAAACACAGTTGCAGCAGTAATCAGGAGGCATAGAAGGAGCCGTAGTACCACCAATCAGAGCTGCAGTGGTCGGTCTCCTAAAATGGCTCCACAGACAGACAGAGAACTACTTTTACAATCTAGCTGTGAAAAACAGACAGCGGCTGCTTCAGACTTGGCAAAGGGGTTATCAATGGAAATCAGAGTTTCTGTGAAGCTCAGATGGCATGGAGGACAGTCTATAATGTCAATATCTATGGATGGTGTTGAAGGAAAACCTGCCCCGTTTGGTGTAAATATGCAAGATGAAAATTTGCTAAAGAGCATGAGAAGAAGCCTGATGAATATTGGGTACACATTCTTTGGTCAGATGAAGATACACTTGTTGGGCTCAGATGGAGTCCAGCGTGTTTGGTGTGAACCTGACCAGGACTACCACAGTGAACGCATAGTCCTGATGGTGAAGCACGGAGGTGGCAGTATCATGATATGGGGCTGCATGAGTGTAAAAGTTGTTGGTGAGATGACATTTATAGATACAAGATGAATGTCTGTGGATAAAAAAAAAAAAAAACTAGCTGATGAGATGCTTAACCCTAGAACACTAACGCTAAAATTAGTAACACCATCACTAACGCCGGGTATATTTTACCCGATATAATATTCCGGATAAATCATCAATTTATGTAAAAGAACAACACTGTATGCCAAATTTTAGTACTCTTCTTTAATCTCCCAATATACAATATCACATAAATTTTTTTTAAAAAAGGTACCATGGGGGACCCAATAAAAAGGCGGCAAAATTATTGAAAAATCAGGAAATCCTTCACGAGAAATTTCCAAACAAAAAAAATAATGGAGCTGGGAACTTGTTCTTTGTTCCAGCCATTCCTGGGACATGTGAGCCTTGTCTAGTGAAGGCACCGTCTTCCTGCATCACTGACAACTGTGGCAGAGATTGACAAAAAATGGCATTTTTTGACTATATGAATTTCCTTAGAAAGACTCCATACCAGAACCAAACTGTGCCTTCACTAGACAAGGCTCACATGTCCCGGTCCTACAGTTTGCCATACAGTGTTGTACTTTTACATAAATTGATGAAAACTATATTTTATCCAGAGTATTATATCAGGTACAATATACCCGACGTTAGTGATGGTGTTACCAATTTTAACCTATTTCCTTCTCAGTCAGGTATTTCACCGATTTTCTGGACATTTCTTTTTTTTTTTCCTCTCTCTGAGTGCTACAACTTCACTTGGAGCTAGGTAGCTAAAAGCTTAGCTGTAGTAGAAAAAAAGAAATCTGCGTAGCTAATGATTGCAGATGTAAATTAACAATAGCTACATGTTACTCACTTGTTAGCATGCCAGAGTAACTAAGCCTGTGACAGGATGACAGCTGTGGATGAATGGGCCAGAGGATGTTGCCGGCCTGAATGTTGTTTCCCTTGAAAAGTGCAAAGAGTGCCTGATTTCAACACACAAACACTAACATTGGGTAAATGCCACCCATAAAATACGTTACCCTCTGTCACTAACGACAGGTGAAAATCACCCAAACGCATGCCTCTTGAATAAACCATAGATGGGAGGTGGGAAACAAACACACCATTAATGACATCACTGAGCAGCTTGAAGCTAAACAAGGACCCATGCAACTCAGACAGCAGCAACACAATGAAAATCACATGACAAAAATCGTGCGGGGGAAAGTCACCCGACGTTAGTGTGCTAGGGTTAAAGAGGAGGAATGTTCCAGCATGAGAACCATCCAAAGCATAAAATCACACAAGAAGAAGAAAGTGAAAGCTACGACCTGGACAAGTAACGACTTCTGTTGAGCTCCTACTGAGGGGCCTGTATCTTCTAATACAGTGAATCTATACTGTTATTTTTAGATAACAGCAAACACCTACTGCTCAGTTAAGTAAGAACAACTGAGAGATTATGCAAATGTAAATCATTTGACATTAAGCAATATTCCTGTGAGATTGAAAATAATAAAAATATATCTGTGACACTGTCATGACTTCAAATGTTTTATTAGACATAAGACACTGGTTAAGACTCAGTAAAAACTGTTGGTCAGTGGTGAATGGCTATAAATTAACGTGTGAAGAATGATATACAGACATTCAAAAACTACTAAAGAAAACAGTAACTCAAGAACTCTAAGCAGGCTTCTTCTTCGTGTAGTCCGTCTTTGTTTGACGGTATTAAGCAGAGATATAACAGCATGTAATAAAGCAAAAGGCAGACACGTTAATGCGATAAAGGCACCAAATTGTTGATATTTCGTTCGACATTCCTTCTGTACAGTGAGTAGCTAAAATCGATCCTGTAGACGTTCTGTTAATCTGGGTGTTTTGAAGAACTTCGGTAAAACTCTCAAGGCCGTGTGGATGTCACAGCGACGCCCTTCAATATGGTTCTTTAAAGTATGAAACAAGTTCTTTTGTGCCTCAATACTGAAACGCACAAGGAAGACCGACTGTCCACAGTAATTTGAACCAAAGCTCCGTTCTGAACCGCTCTTATGAACCATGATTTTCTGACGTACATTGCACCGATATGCAGAGTCTGATACAAAACTCAGCCTGGAGGCAAGATTAAAAGCTATGAAATGCTCCATAACGTAAGAAATGAAACCTCATTCAGTGGGGCCTGAATAGAGTCCTCTGTTGAAGTTAATTGTAATTACATCAGCACAGTAATAACTTCTGGTGACAAAAAAAATGAGCTCAGCTATTTTACCACAAGGCCACTTGAGGTTATTGGCACAAGAGAGAGCTGTTGAAGTGTACAGCATACTAATTTATGAATCTAATCATCTGTCTAATTTGTCTCCTGATCTCACTCCTGGTTTGACCTCTTGTCTGATCCCAAAGTGCAAAACAAACCAAAACAAACAGTAATACTTGACTAAATGGTTGACTTTTTTTTGCACTGTGGAACAGCTAGTCACAGTATGGATCAGTGGTGTCTCCCTCTAGTGGTGACCAGACAGCAGAGCGCCTCCCCCATTGATCACAGTGTAGTCGAGGAGAGTAAACAGTGTGGAAATAGCTTTTACCCATTCAAATAAAACTATGGCTGTGGATGTGCAGGCAGGGCGGGTGCACCGGAGAGTCGAGATGCAGTGAAAACTCAAAAGAAAAAAGCAGCGAAATCAGCGGCAGAGAGATAAGGCTGAGAGAAACAGCTGCTTCAGTCGTGCAAACAGTATTTTTGTAACAAGTCAAGAGAGATGCCTGAAGTGAGAAGCGCCTCCAATTTCATCCAAGTCTTCTTGTTTCGGTAAGGTTCTCACTGCACGGCGAGAGACACCGCAAGACGGCTACAGGTCCACACAGAAATATGCATGTGATGCTTTAAAAAGCTGTAGTTCCACGACAAGGAACAAAGTCTCTGATGATTCCTCCTGATCTCGTCTTGGCTGAAATGTGGCGAATGTCTCGCAGCTCCCACTCTCAGGAGTTCAGTCTTTTCGGTTACACTCGCACATCCCCTCAGCTGAGGAAGTGTCACAGGCCCCATTTATAGGGTTCCAAAAAATATTTGAAAAAAACAACAAAAGAAATCGTCGTGACACTTCCCAACCAGCAGTGTTGAAAATCTCTCCTGCTTTAAATGTGGTGGTGGTGGTGGTGGTGGTGGTGTGAGCGCAGAGAGGGCCGTAGGTCAGCGATGCGCTGGCGTAAATGCGACATGAACTCAAACATGGTGGCGGCCAGACTCTGGTGGATGAGGTAGCGAGGCAGGCGGCCCTGATGAGACAGAAACATGCGAGTGTTGATTGTTTCCTGCTCGTATTGTGTTTCACTTCATGCAGAAAGCTGAATTCTTGTGTCATTCTGTTCTGATCAAAAAGGTTCAAGCAGTAACTTTGATCAGTCAGCGTTAGTCACTGTAAAAGCAGCTAACGTCCTGATTTGTAGCGACGGCTCTGCTTCTTGTTCCGTTATCGCAGGTGGTGCATGCTATAGAGAGAGACGTGTTTTTTCAGGTAGAGCAGATTGTTCATTTTACTTTAGAAAGGTGTTACAGTACTCTGGATATCATTAGCTTCTTAATGACAGCATTAGCCTAGCACCCTTAGCAAAACAGGCTCCATCTGCACTGACAACTCTGGCAACATCTGCTAGCTCATCTTCCATCCACTAATTTACCAAAGCTGCTACACTGCAAGTGTGCTCAACTGTCCCTGTCTGTAGACACTAGCTTTCAATGCTGATTCGCTGTTACTCATGACATGCAACCAATCAGATAGGGTTGAGGGCGGGACTTTACTTAAGACGACAGAGCGACTACAGAGAGAGAAAAAGAAAGCTGTCTGCATCAGTGGCAAAGTAGCTTAATTTATTTTATAAATAATCTGGTAATAAAACTATCAATCCCGACAATTGGACAAATGCTGAATATTGGCCCTGATAGTCAGCAAGCCAATAATCAGTCGATTATTAATTCATCACTCACAGACAACCTGCCAAAGTCAACAGGTTCCACTGTAACGTCCTCAGAGCATTGGCACAAAAAGCGATTACTTCGATGGAGACAGCGGTAACTTTCAACCAGGTACACTTTCTGCTTTTTATAAACACAGATTCCCTGCTAACTTTTTTAACACACCTCATATATGTAATCTGTAATTACATTGGATTTTATTTGCTTTATTCCCATTCAGATTTTATGCATTCTATCACTATTTGCAGCTGCGACAATCCTTTCCCTAAATGCAGATTATTTAATATTTAGTAATCCTAAAAAAGGAAATGATCAACTTATGTTGAACATCATAAAATGTTAAAGTAACTGCAGCGTGTATTTTTCTCACCTTCAAGTCTGTGTTGAGGACCCAGATGAAGGTGCAGACGGACGGGTTGCTGCTGGACTTGAGGACCACAAATCCTCCTGGTCCGTTTTCTCCCCTGAGAGCAGCAATAAAGGGTAAAAAAAAAAAAAGAGAAGATGGAAAGTTAAACTAACACAACTGGCCTTCCTCAGATCGATATGATGCTCTAATTTACTGGATCAGTGGCAAGAGGTCCGGCTGGAGGCATGGCCTGACCTGACGTAGCGGCCGCTCGGGGGTTTGGCGTCATGGTCGGTTGCCATGCCAGCAGACAGGTAACAGTCTCGTTTGCGCTCCACTCGCCGAACATTAACAAAGTCCCTAAAGGAGGAGAAATCAATCCTGCAGTCAATTTACCTTGTTTCAGACCTGATGTCCTTAGAAAGAAAAGATAAAGACAAGACCAGAAGGAAAGATGAACTGTAAGGAAAAGCCACGTATTGAATCCAGTTGCTGATGTACCTCGCGGACACAACTCCGCCTGCTGCGCCAGACGACACATCATATGACACCAGTGTGTTGTCGTCAACCCTCTGAAGGATCTGAGGCAGAAAACCCAGTGTTAGGCTTTAGCGGAGCACGATTTAACAGAGAAACACGTCAAAAAGGACACAAAGACTCGTCACCTGGCAAACAGAGACTGTTTTGTTCCACTGAACCATCTTCTCTGGCTGCAGAATCACTTCCTGATACACAAGCTCAGCAGGACACTGCATTAGAGCCTGGAAACAAAACCAAAAAAAACCCAACAAAAAAACAAGGCTTTAAGCAATACTGGAAAGTCTGGTATGTCCTGCAAAGTGCACAAAAGAAATTCCAAATATGTGCCTGATGCATAACACCATGACCCATTTCCTGTCATATCTATCAGAGCTGATACTATGATAACCACAGCTGTGTTTTCTCTGCTGTTCAGAGGTCTCCACCGTGAAACTCAAACGTTTGATGGCTATTTCAACACCAGTACTCTCCGCTTATGATCCTGCTGGAAACCCCCATCATGCTAAACAGAGTTTACTTCCGCGTCTTAACAAGAACTCTATTGTTTAAAGACTTACTGGAATGGTGGACCAATGTTTGCGCAGATAATCATAGTTTAGGAGTTTGCATGCAGACATTTACAACACATTTTACTACATCACCCTGACTATGATCATAAATCCACATAGAAAGAGAGCAGACGAAAAGCTGTAGTTCAGTTATTACAGAATCAAATAAAGAGCTACACCATTTATCAGAATCCACAGAAAGAATTGGCAGATATTCATCTTTCCAGCAGTACTTGAACATACCATACGTGACACACAATTGCATCAAGAAAAGCAACAAAATTAAAGCTTAACAAGTGGAAAATAAAACGGAAGTTGTTGGAAGATACATTAAGCATGGTGAAACATCTTTCTGCAGCTGATATACAGAGTATTGTGAAAACGCAGGTAAATATCTGCAGTAAGTGGAAAAATAGGACCAAAACAGATTGTGCAATCACCTAAATAAGTCCGTAGGTCAAACTCTTCAACCACTTATAAACACAGCAGAAGTGTTTCAGCAACAAAAAGTTAATTTGCGGCTGCTGTGTTGGTTTTGATCGACCCGGTTTATCATTTACAGCAACAAATCCACAGGATACGGTGATAATCATTCAGAAAACAGAGCTCCTTTTACAGCCTTCAGTAAGTGAATAACTCACTTTCTCTGAGTTGCTCTAAAAGGATCCTTTCTAACGTGATTTAGGCCTCTATGAAGCTACTGTGACATCCTTAGAAAGTCTCAGTGGTTTCTGGTCGCATTTAACGCACACTGTTACACCACTGTTCCCTCGAGAGATTGATCAAATACATGCAGTTGCAAGCGTACTTGGTGTAATTCAGTTAGAGCGGAGTCTTAATACCTGAGTGACACACAGCCTGATTTACTGTGACACGTATAATAATAGAGAACAGGACCGTATCTGTCCAGGGAGGCCGAATATGCCGAGAAAATAAAACCGTGTCAACGCGCTAAAATCTGATATTACATAACCGTTTCAAACAATGTGACAAAACGTCGTCTTATGAGTCTAAACATGACACCTTTGAAACACTTCTGGAACATGATATGTTTTGTTGAGACACTGAATACTCAGAGGACTTCAGTACCTTGAGAATGAAGGTCTTTCCATGGTAGGGAATCTCCAGAGTGTGGACAGAGTCTCCCATGTCCTGTCATGAGACAAAAACAGCCGGTATCATGAGACTTTTGTCACTAGATGTTGATACTAAAGGACTTCTTTGATTTGCATTTGTCTTCATTCTTAAGATTTCTGATTAGGAACAAACGCTGACCTATAAATGAACTGAAACCATCCCTGCAGAGAAAAATGTTGCACGGCAAGAGCCGGGTTTCGCTTGGATCGGCGTCCGAGTTGCTGACAAACTTATTAGAGAATATCTTAATAAATATCTGCTTCTACGTGCAAACATTTAATCAAATACATAGCAAAGTAATGACCCGGATATATAGTAAAATTCACATTTTTGCAGTAAAAAACTAGCCTGTCGGTGCTCTCTGGTGGAGAAACTGGTGGAATTTATTCGTATCAGTCGGTATCAACACAAACATGACATAATAAACCAGGTTTTATCAGCCTAACTTACTGATTCAATGCTGAAACAGATTCATTAAATTGTTATCAAACCAAAATTTTATGTAGCAGGTAGCAAAAATGTTGGTGGCATGAACTACTAGAAAGATACATGCTTTGAACTTCACTTGAAATCCCAGAAACGCATCTATAATACAAAAAAATAATGCTGCTATACTGTCTAAACTAAAGTCTGTCCAATATTAGACACATGTGACCTAAAACCAAAAACTGCAGCTTTAAGATGGAGCAAAATGGACTCTTAGTCATGCCAGCTAGAATGTCTTTAACCCTGCAGCCCATCCACAGGGGGAGAAGAGAGAACTAGCAATAAAAAGGCAATAAAAACAATAAACACGATGTGAGATGAGCGCCTTAGTAACAGAAAGCTGCCTCACTCTGGGTTTTTGTCAACCACCAGAAAACCTGTTTCAAAATCAGTTCTAAAACCGACAAGCAGCCGGTGCTGAGACTTTAAAATCGGTTCAACGTGTTGCTCTTCTTCCTGTCTTACTCAACACTTGTGCTGCTGAGTTTTGAAGAAGTGGAAGTGGAGATTTATTTCTGCAAGTAGCAAAAGCACACTGTAGTGCCTCTGAGAGAGAACGGGTCGCACGCTGGCAAAGTACCGCAAATAATAAAATGCTGTCGTATCTATTTTTATAATGTGAGAATTAAAAGTAAGGTCGGAGTCCCAGATGACTCTTCAATTTTTCACTTGTTTACACGGTTTTAATGCCAGTGTTTCAGTTTCTTATTAAGTTGCTTTCTCTGAGTTAAACTATCACGGAGCAAGACTTTTTTTTTTGTCCTGACTGAGCTGCAGAAAGTTCTCCATCATCCATGGCTTAATATCTAAAATACACTTAAAAGGAGAGACAGCAGTGTGTCATCAAGCATAGCGCTGAAACTCCTGATGCCATTTCCAAGTGGCAGCTTGTAAAGGTTAAAAAAGTGCAGTGTCCTTACGTTGTTCTTCTCAAATTTCCAGTTTTCCTCCTGGGTGAGGATCTGTTCGACCACTGACATCGCCTCGCGGCCCTGTCTGACGTACTCCTTCTCCTGGAACAAGAGCCAGAGGAGGAAACAGTGAAGAGAAACACCTGGCAGAGCAGCGAGCAGAGCTGAACATGGAGAGTCCTGATGCAGCTACCTGAGCAGTGACGGCTCTGCGACCGAGACCCTCCTCATCCAGATCCTCCTCAGAGCCTGCACACACAAAGTTCAGGGACAAAACTTAATTTGTGTCACAAACGAGAAACTTACAAACATACTGAAAAGAATGGACGCACTAAAGCCCTTTTCAGACATGAGACATGCAACATTTCTGACCTAAAGTGACACCATTCTGTAATTCAGATATGTATTTACATTAACAGTGATTGAGAGAGCCTTGGTACAAACAGGAAACGTTGTTTTCTTATGCTAGTGTTGTTTAATGCCTTCTCCAAAACAGTACATGGGATTAGATCATCTAAACTGTAACGTCACCCACATTACATAATGTGATGTGTACTGATGAATACAATCTTTACTCAGCTTCTAGTAAGAAAACAAACTGTCTCCACATCTGCACATTCCTCTCAGCTTTCATGGGAAACATCTTGGGCTCCTTTTGGGATCAGAGTGACCCAAAACTGTTTTTGAAGCTGTGGCAAAGATAAGAAATAACAAGTTTGTTCCTGACTATGCAGGGGAGGAGTGTGGAGCTTTAGTTTACAGATATAAAGGAGAGTTTTTTGGGGGGGATTTTTTGCAAATGCTTGAAGAAAATAGGACACTGCTGAGTTGTGTTAATTGTAGACAGATTCCCACCACAGATGCAGGCCTTGTAAATTGTATATTAATGTAGTTTAGCTACTGGCAGCAGTTGTGTTCTTGCAGTTGGTGGTAGAAGTGGATAAAAGAAGATCTGACATGACATATGAAGCAAAGAGATTACAGAAGACACACATCACTATAAAATCTGCCGACTGCATGTTATCTCCTGCAATTTAAAAGGCTTTCAAAGGCACCCTATCTTTAAAAGAACATAGCCAAAACGGCGCCTTTTATCAAAGCCAGTTCGTGTGATTTTCAGTTTTATGGTAACTCCTGAGCTACTCATCTCTGAAGTGCCGTTCTGTCAGGAAACTTCAATTTAAGCTTAAAAATCAGGATATTTGATCAAAATCACACAAAAAGCATAAAAACTTCAGCTACTCAGCACAACTGTGAAGCCATCATCCATTTTGGAAGTCATTTGACAGCACTGACTGAGGGATTAGGCGATATAACTGAAATTTTTTATTGAGTTTAATTTCAGTAAATGCAAATAATCAAAGTTTTTAGTTGTTTTGTTTTTTGTTTTTTGTTTTTTTAACCCTGTGAACCTCAAAATGGATCGTCAAGTTTAAAAGGCATGATATCTTTAGAAAAACAGCAAACATGACTCCATTTAACAAAGCTGGAAACTGTAAAAACATAAAGAACTGTCGGATTGTCAACTTTCCGATTGTCTTTGAACTGCTCATCTGTGATGGGCCTCTCCATCAGGAAAATAAATCAAGCCTGAAGTCACAGTGTTTCGACAAAACAATGTTGGTGTCCAAGTTTTACTTAAATTAGTCCTTATTTTTGGTAAAATAAATAAAGTAATTCAGCTTTATTTTTTCTTTCTTATGCTTTATGTCATTCTAATTGTGTCATTCTGCACAAATGACACTTTTGATTCTCTACTTTTAGTCATGGTTGACTATTTCCACTGAGGCGCACTGCAATAAAATAAATGGACCCACAGTGAGTAAAAAATGTGACAAGGGCAAGAAACACCCAGAAACTACTTGAAGTACAGACACAGACTGTACTTGAGGCTGTTGGAAGAAGGATTCATGAGAGACAATCACCTGCGACAGATTCAGGTGGAGAGTAGAACTGTCCGTCTGAAACGGCGCGAGGGTAGATCATCGGGGCTCGTTCGCAGGCTGCGTTCACCGCCGCCAAGTAGGCTGAAGCCAAAAGAGACGAGCGGTTATCATCGGAACTGAGATTATTTGTCGTGTTCGAACCCGTCAGGCGTCTTTATGTCACCTCTTTCGTCATCGGCCTCCTGGGTGAGAACCTTGAAGTCGAGGAACCAGGTTTCCAACCACGCCACCACAAACGAGGTGATGGGTAAAACATAGCCGAAGGCATTCTGGGACAGGAGCTGCTGAGAGACAGAAGTCATGTTATTATAAAAGGACTACTTTTGCTATAAAAACTTTCACAACAGCAGCATGTTGGGTTGGTTTACTTCCTTATTGTTGAATGCCAAATGTTTACTGACCTACATAAAAGTAGCTCAGGTCAAAATGTGGAAAGAGGAGCATTTGTTTGTCCTTCACAAAGCAGTAAAATCAAACTCTTATCAGTCCCGCACAGCAGATAATCGGCATAAATGCAGAAGTGCAAAAGCTGAAGTGGTTGCAACTGATTTGCCTCCACCACATGCGAGTGCAAAAGTGTACGGGCAGCAGAATTAGGAAGCTCACATTAGATACGATGACCTTAACAACAAGGAAGACGCTGGTCACCAGTGTGGTAACCTGCAGAGGAAAGAAAATCTGGGTTAGAAATCACATCCTCAAATCAAACTATGGGATTTTTTTGCTGTATTTCATCACAGTGTGTTCTACTGTAACAGAGCTGACTCACCGCAATGACCCACCAGTGCTTCAACCGAAAGGCGGCGTAACCCACTTGCAGACACAGGAAACGAAACAAGGCGAGGAGCTGAGAAGAGCAGGAAGAAGCAGAAAAAGAAAATGACCCCAGGCGTTTAGGGTGTTGACTCAGCAAACAGCTTCTCGTCTTGTGTCAATAAATGCAGATGTGTGACCCGTCGTCAAGCTCATTTGGATCAACACAATACGGACCATAAAACAGTACAGGTGAAAAAAAAAAAAAAAGAAATTCTTTTCCAAACAACGATATTTACATCGCAGTGTCTAAGCTGACTGGTTAGTTGGCACATGCTGTCATCTGACCAAATTCTCATTGGCCGGACTTTCACAAGGAGAAAAACACTACATCGACTATCTTCCAGTATTAATCCTTTAACTTTTGGTGGACGACCTGTGAACACTGCTGCATTTCCACATCTTTAAACTTGCCCAAAAATAACTCGGACTGCTAGATCTAACTTATTTAACCAAACATTTAGTCAGAGTTATTAAAGAAGTCGGCAAACAGCTATTCGCATATCACAGCTCAACTAGCAGCTACCTTATAGTCCTGTGATATATTCCTCAATACTTCTTCTGCTGGAACCACTAGTTGATATGGTTTTATTTTTGGAAATTCTATAAATAAAGACGGTTGCATAATGGTCATTTCAGTATAAAATAACCAGGTTAAAATGGTTTAACGTGCTGCAAATACAAGCTTTTAATACGCATTTATAATTCATTTAGGCTAATAAGGCAAGCAGGTATAGTTACAGACATAAGGCATAATGAGCACATTTTTTTCCCACAACCACATGATTACTGCAATAATAGGTACGATTTCAGTCGACCATGATTTTCTTTGTTTGATTATCGCACTAGTCAACACTTCACATACTTAAAAGTGGACTTTACAATATTATATCCAAAACTTTCCAGAGTTCTCCTATTGCAAGCACCTGGAAACATGCAAATACATACCAGTTTTAAAACAGTTGTTTAACATTAGTGGTAGGTCGATTTAGGTTTGGTCGATTATTGGGGTCGATATTCATCATTTTTCCGGTTACGAGCCCTTTTGTGCTACTTTGGCTTTGATGTAGCCACTCTTCTCTATGTGTAGTCATCACCCTGTGGTCTCTGTGGCACTATCTGACTGGGATCATGAGTAATATCCAATCAATACTGCAGGATGTAAAAATAAATGTTGAAAATATCTCTTTTTAATTCAACATGTAAAATATATTCAAACAAAGGCATTTCAATTAAGTTTGGGGTTTTCATTTTTACTGTAAATGCAAATCAGTATAAAATTTTGGTTCTTGATAGTAGTAACAATTGGTACTTGTTGACCCCTATTCAAAATTACATTCAGATAAAACATGCATAAGGTTGGATTGACCCACTTACAAAGATGTCAAAGAAGGAAGACCTGAAGTTATAATGGACGACCTCATTTTCTAAGCTGTCCCAGATTGAGCTGGAGATCTGCAGGACAACGGAGTAAAAATGAGTCTTAATCATTGCTGCTGTTGCATAAAATAATAATAAAAAAAAACAATCAACCACATCTTTTGACGCATCCTAAACGAACACTCACATTCAGCTCGATGATCCAGAGAAGGGAGATGAAGAGGAGGTCGAACGTGACGAAGAGGCAGAAGGTGCGGCGGACGTCGGAGATGGCTTTGCGCTCTGCAGGTGGTACCAACAGGTACGGAGAAGGGAGGGACAGCGATGTGGAGTAGGAAGCATTGAGAGAGGCGATGGCAGGGATGCTGCCCCCGAGCTCCCCGTACTCTCCACCTGGCATTCCTGCTGATGGACAGCAAACTCCACCTGCAACCAGGAGGATAACGTTGGCTGTGTGTTAAAGTTTGTGTCCTCGTGCACAACAGAGGACGTACGAGCACATTAACCCTCTGAACTCCAAGCCCCAGTTTGAAGAGCATGTTGTCTTAAAATAAATCTACAAAATGACACCACTTATCAGATCCAGAAGCAAACAGTGCTTGAATGTATCCTGTGTTTAGTGGACAAAATAACCAAACTGTTTGCATTTTCCGGATTAAGAGAAAACAAACAGAAAAAAATTCTGCAGTTTACATAAAACTGCAGGACTATACATTGCAATAAAAAATTAGCAGACCATAAGTGAAATTAATTGCGACAGGAACAAAACATGCCCAGAAAAGCTTTGGGTTTGGAGTGTTAAAAGCTGAAATGTACCACAGGCGACTTAGAGCCAACTGGGAAGCCTGAAGTGGAAATTCCTCAGATACGATAACCATGATATTATTTTCATGATAATTCTGACCTTTCTCTGACCAGGTAGAAATGTTTGAGAACCAGTTCTCATTTGCAAACATGACAGGAACAAATACTCATGTAAATTACAGACACAGATAGACACATAAACATAACACAGAACAAAAGGAAACAAGTAAGATGCATGTGAGTGAGAAAAGATGTGCATGAGGTGTAAGAAAGTGTGTGTGTCTATATAGAAATATGTAAGTGAAGTCCGGCGTGATCAGCAGGAGCAACAGTCACAGTTTGAGAGTGTTGTGTAAGGTGTTGCAGTCGTTAGCTGCTGCAAAGCAAAAGGAATTATGGCCAAAAACAGCAGCAGTAATGGGGATGATGAGCTTGATGTATTCACTAGACCTAGTACGATAAGGATTATGGGCGACGTGAATAAGACAGGACATGTAGGGAGGTGTCTTGCCCAGATAACAGGATATAACAAAACAGCATCGCTCAAGAGCAGATGTAGCAACTTAGATAATTCAGATTACAAAGCTTTTGGGGAACTTCTCTTTATCAGACAGATTTGGTAAATGAAGCATGTGTACTACTTATTTTTAAAGCACTTAAATTAAAGCTGACAGTGCTCTGCACCTTGTCACCGCAAATCTGAAAATAGATTTTAAAAACAAACAAACAAACAAACAAAAAACAGCAGAGAACTATCACTCTTGCAGTCCCATGACTTTCCTAACCTCACTGCGGTTTGGATAAACAGCTTATGACAAGGTTTTACAGAGTAGCATTGTTAGCTTGTTGCCTTTTTACATAACAAAACACGTTTTTTTGGTCCATGTTATGTTTCCAACAAGGACTATTTTTCAGGGATTTAACTTAATGCACGACTCTGATTTACAGACTCATGAGGCCACACAATGTGCCTCCTGAATATGCTTAAGCAGTGAATCATTTATTGAAAGATGCTTGCACTGTGAGATCAGATTTTGGTTGGATGACTGTTTCTACTGGGCAGACAGGCTGCTTTTTAATCAGCAGGTCAGACCATTGGACCATTGTTGTCCCTGTGAATCACAATCACTCAGTGCTGAGCGAGTTTCAATTATCTCCAGATGCAGACAAGACACTTATTCTCACTATCTACCTGACTTAAATCTTCACAAACCCTGATTAGTTGTGGACCCCATGACTCCTTTCACACGTACTTCTGCTAAAAAACAAACAACGCTGCTTGAGTTATGTGTGTGCTAGCATGCTAACTCTGTCAGCTAGTGCTAAAAAGGAGCAAAACAGGCAGAAAACAATGCCAAGAATCGCTGTTTAGACTCACACAAATGTTGTAAACAAGCTCACATCGGGTATTAATTAGCTCATTAGTAGCTACTGCTGTTAGCTATTAAGGTATGTTAGCTTAAACCGGCTAACTTACCTTCAAACAAGTTAGTCTTACTTGCTAACACCGTGAATAAATGTGAAAAACACACATTTTACCGCATGCAGATATCGACAGCAAGTAGTGCCAAGCCAGAAGAGAGGACATGTAACCGAAATACGACGTTAATTGTAGAATAAAACGGAAATCGAAAGCGTTTAACTCACTTGTTTTACCGCAACATCATCGACTGCCTGGACAGTCTTCCGGGCTGACCGCTCAAAGATGAAGAGTCGCACCAAGATGGTTCGCTGCTGCGCGCCGACAATCACGGCTACGATGGAGGCGTGTTTTGAAGATAAATCCGCCTCTAAATCAGCAGGAGGCAGTGATAAATGTAGGCAACGAAGGCGGAGAGTGTACAGCTTTATCAGTTTGTACACGAAGTTACAGAAACACCCGCATTTACGGGAAAATGTTACTTAGATCAGTTTGTACGCAGCCCAATAGAGTTTATTGTGACAGTGCAACCTCTTTAAATGTTACACAATCTCTGTTCATGGTTCAGAGCAGATAGATATTTATTAACCTCAGAGGGAATTCTTGTGCCAGATATTGCTCAGAAAAGAATTGCATAACATAAATGCAATGCCTAGCAGAAAAGTAGTAAGATATAAGTACCATGCATACCTAAAAATAAAATTAGTAGGCTATCCTGAGACTGGAATAGAAAAGTAAGAAGTAACACTGGCAATAATTGTGATGTGGTAAAATAATATTGCACATAATGAAAAAGTTGGACAAGAAATTAAAATATTGTATATATAAATGAAATGTCACACAACATAATTACATATTGAATGTAATATTGAAACATTAGAACATGATACAGGAATGTTGGAGTTTAAATTTGTGCTGTTGAGATATTACATGTGAAAATGAAACATTGCACAATATTATTAAACACAAAGTTGAAATATTGCACCTGGAAACTGAACAGTGCACATGAAAACCTAATTTCACACATAATTATTGCACTTGAAATAAAAAAAAAAATACTGCACATTAAAATCAGCCTTAAGACAAGAAAATCTAATTTGCACATGACATTGAAATTTTGCAAATCAAATTAAAACATTACACATGAAATTGAAACTATGCCCATGAATTTGAATGTTGAACTTGATAAGATAAATATTGCACCTGGAAATTAAATATTGCACATAAAACGTATATGCTGCACATGAAACTGAAATATTGCACATTATAATTAACTATTGAGCATGGTACTGAAATACTGCACCTGAAAAAGAAAAGTTGTGCAATAAATTGAATACTGCATCTGAAAATGAAATGTTGCATCTGAAAATGAAAGATTGCACATGATACTGACACTGATATTGCACGCACTGTTGAGAAAAGTAATGTTGCACATGGCATTGATCTTATTGTTCAGATGTAAGTCCCTGATGTTTCCACTGTTATTACTGCAGAAAGGGGAGGATTTCAGGTTTAACTGAATGGATGATTCACTTTAAGTCAATAAAGACTGTTATTATTTTTTATTTTAGGACAACTTGAAATAACTGGTCTGGCCCACCTTTAAAAAAAATGTTTGGATGGACTTGGATATCTTGTGAATAAATACGTTACTCCAACTGCATGCCCCTCTCTCTTTTTAGAGACGCTCATATGGATCCTCCTGCTGCTTGATGCTTCAGGTAATCAATAAACTCAGATGAAAAACTCCTGCAAATAGCTGGAAGCAACAAATCCAAGCAGTGAGGAGTCAGAAATCGTAAGGGCTATTTATTAGTTTGCTCTTTATGAATTAGAATTGGAGGGTTTGGTTGCTTTATATGTTTGTATATTTGGCCTGGACATTCATATTTTCTTTATGTTTGTTTCATTTATTTTCATTAGTTTATTGTTCTGCAAAGTGGGTCAGTGGTTAACACCGTGGCCTCGCACCAAGAAGGTCACGCTGGGATCTTTCTGCGTGGAGTTTGCATGCTCTCCTCGTGCAGCGTGGGTTCTCTCCGGGTTCTCTGGCTTCCTTCCATACAGTCCAAAAACATGTTGACGTTAATTAATGATTCTAAATTGTCCGTAGGCGTGAATGTGAGTGTGCTTGGTTGTCAGTCACTAAGTCAGCTGGGATAGACTCCAGCCCCCCATGACCCTAGTGAGGATTAAGCGCTGTATAGATAATGGATGGATGGATGGATGGATGGATGGATGGATGGAGTTAAACCTTGTCTCTAAAATGTCTATTTTTTGACATTTTAGAGACAAAACAACAAATACATTAATCAATAATAGTCAGTTACAGTCCTAAATGACACACACAAAACAACATTCAGATGAAATGCACACATAACAGATCGATACATAACTAAAGCAACCAGTCAATCTGTTTGTCTGCATGTTATGCAATATCAAATGCACTGAAACATGAGACTCAAGAAGGTGTGACACTGTCCCATAATGATGTCAAAGTGGAATTAAGGTTTTTGGTTGAATACAGACTTCAGACTTATTCATTTCTAATCTGTGTTCTGTTTGAGAAGACAGCAAACCCAAAACCTTCATCTGACAGAAACATCTACATTTTGGATGTTTACAAAAGAATGACCATTTTCTTGGATGAAGAAGAAGAAAAAACAACACCAAGAAACTGTGGAAGGTTTTAGAAAAGGTAGGGGACAGATACAGGAAAATGTCCCTCAGAAGGAAACACCGATATATTATACAGGTGATCCAACATGAAGAGCAGTAAAGACTCAAACATTTTAGTCTGTGATGCTTCATAGAAGCAATGAACTGTGAAAAATTCACCTGAAAGATGTTTAAAACTCAGTTTTTTGTCTCTCAAGTCACCTCAGATGGTTTCCTTGAGTTTTTACAACCTGCATCACCTGAATTTAATTTCAGTTGAACTTATTTTGACCTGAAAACCTGAAAAGACACAAACTCTTCAAAGATTGAACATCATCTACACATGCAGATTT